TCTGACTGATGGCTTAGGCCTGCTCCCCGCAAGCCTTCAGTCGGACATCCTTAGTGCTACCGCTGCGCTCCCTGCTGTGAGCCCGGCTCAGGGCTTCTGGCTGAGCAGCGCTCTCCCTGTGGGAGCGCACTGACCATCAGGAGGCAGTTCCCACATTGAGCATCTGCCCCCGGTGGTGCGCATCATAGCGGTTGGTCATTCCACTGGTCGGTTTGCATATTAGCCTTTTATTATATAGGATTCAAATCAAGGAGGAGACATAAGCAGGGTTACATGAAATCCTTTGGTGGTAGATTAAGGGGGTGGGAGAAAGCAAAGGGGGAAAATCTCTAAAATTGGACAAAAGGCTAAACAGAGAGACAAATAGTTCCTTCACATTGGTGGGTATAGGATAGTTAATAACACTTACAGCACATAGACATGGTACATGGGCAAGAAGATAGCAATGAGGGGACCGTGGTCACATACTCTGGTGCTGGCAGTTGTGCCTAGAGGTTACTCTGACATTTCAAAGGTATGTTAATTGTAGATGCAAAATAGGCTCACGTAAGTAAAGATTGACCTTTGTCAAGGAAGCTACAGGCCTAGGATATCACTGCCCTCTATGACCTGCTTTTGCTTAGGAATTTCTATGTTCAGACCATCCATGTTGTTCAGACCATTGCTCTCTGAGTTTGTAGGGCCTGTCATCTGGTCTCCCTTGAGCTTGTTGGGTTCAGTATGTGGCCACCTTTTCATCCACAGTAGCAAGGAAAATAAATGCAATGTCAAGATTAATTCTTCATTAGAGGGAAAAGAACCAACACTGGATAAAACCAAACAGTGACATGGAAGAAAAACTTGAGACATTTCCACCAAATCCAGAAGGAAGTAAGATGAAATAAAAAGCAATAGAATATATGAAATCCAGGCAATGAGGAGCCAACAGAAGCATACATAACTTCTTTCCCAGAAATACGATTCAAAAATATTAAACAATAAACATTCCTTAAGCTGGAGACTATTTGACTATTCAAATTAAAAAGCTTGGTGAAATGTTAGAATTTGAAGGATGAGACAAGTATTATATGTATCATATGGTGTCTTGTTTATAGTTATTGTTTCCTAACAAAGAAGGAAATGTGGAAAACAAGTTGGAACCCTGGCATCATTTACTAGTTTTCTGCTCCCTGGAGGAAAATGGCTCTGATACAATCACAGTAGGTGACAGTTCATGGCATCCAATTTTTTAAAAGATGACCTATGAGCCTATCTAGCATGGCTCAGTGGTTGAGCGTTGACCTATGAACCAGAAGGTGACAGTTCAATTCCTGGTCAGGACATATGCCTGGGTTGCGATCTCCATCCCTGGTGTGGGGCAGCTGATCAATGATTCACTCTTATCATTGATGTTTCTAAGTCTCTCTTCTTCTCCCTTCCTTTCTGAACTCAATAAAAATATATTTTAAAAATATAAAAAATAAAAGATGACCTATGAAGTTCTCTGTCTTGATTTATCCTCACTCAAGGTTGGCGGTTTATTATGGCTGAGGTTGGGTTGCGCTTGGAATTATATCCACATGTATTTAATTACCAGAGCCCAAGGGCAAATATTGTCCCCAAGTCAGATATTTTGTGACCTCTATTTTTCTTTCAAGACCATTTTTCAAAATAGTTCTCTTGTGGCCTGACTTTGGGGGGTTGGGGAGGGGATTGCAGTCTTGTGTAACGGTGATGGATCTCGGGTGTTAGAACGATGTTACACAATCCTGCATTTTTATCATTCTAATGACTATTGCTGGACAAGGGGAGCTTACTTCCCTGCCAGAGATTTATACAAGCTAATCAGAGGCTTGATACAATACAGATGGCGATAACCTTTTACCATACTAAGTTCACGTTGAGTTTTTCTTTGGCAGCAAAGAGTTTGCCTCATTCAATATCCTGGACCAAAAAAAAATTCTATTTCTTAAATGCCTTACAGAGTATTGCAGATGATGTAAACTATTTCAGGAACACTGCAAAGGGAATCACGTGCGAGGCCTCCGCCACATTCCACAGAAGTTACCACAGACCTATTTACTTCTTAGAACTGAGGGATGGAAAATGTTGTGTGTTTTTTAATTATGTTTTTTATTCAAGTACAATAAAGCACAAAGATTGGGGAGGGGGACAGATGATTTTCAGTAAGTTCTTCACTCCTCCTCTAAAGGACATTCCAAACCCAGATCTTGTGTAATTCTTTGCTTGAACTACTAGTCCTGCTATTCTTACTATTTTAAGCTTAATATATTGCCTTGCCAACAGATATAATGGTTCCTGTAAAAATTCACCCATTCCCCGCAAGAAGAGAAGAAAAATAGAATCACACCTCAAAGTGTTGTTTATGTAAGGAGCAGTACAGCAAGAAATCCCTGCTAAATCCTTTTCCTGGATGTGAGGAATGTTATTGACAATGAACTAAGATTAATATTACAAGATAGGATTTGTTCATGTCAGGACAAGAAAGGCACAAAAAGGAAACATTTTGGTACAAGCTGTACAAAACACAGTGCGTGTGTGTGCATGTACACACACACAGATATTCCCTACATTCCTACTGCTCACTCAAGGCCAACTCACTCACGTAACTCTCTGTAGCATATCCTAGAGTTCATCCACTCCACTCATTTATGAATTAGTTCATTGAATAAATATTGATTAGCACATATTCTGGGCCAGGCACTGTCGTCAAGAATAGCATACTGGGCGGAGCCGGTGTGTGTGCGGGGGACAATTGACTTGCTCTTTCTCCTTTCCATCAACATTTCCACTTGTTTATTGTCTTGTTTACAGTGAACTGCCATGGTCTTGCTGGAGAGAAGAGTAATCAAAATGAGCAAAAGCTTAGGGGAGTTGGGTTATGATTTCAGAGTGGAACAACTTAGAAAGAAAGAGTTTATAGCTTAGTCAAGAGCACGAATGTTGTAAACACAACTTGCCACATCTTGGAGCGCTGGAACTTGGAGGTCCCCTTTGTATACTGACACACAACTTTGGGGACAAATAAAGTAATATCTGGCTTCATACCATCCATAACAGATCGTTGAATTTTTTCCCAGAGGTGGTACTGAATGAAAAGGAGTGTGTGTGTGTGTGTGTGTGTGTGTGTGTGTGTGTGTTTCCGTCCATTCCAATTGCTAGGGCTTTTGCTTGGGGTGTGTACTAACTGAAAATGTTTATAAATATATATGTCTATACATGTATATACATATGTATGTGTATATATGTGTGTATATGTATATATATGCATGCGAATATATGTATATGTATATATTCCTATACATATATATACTTTATACTTTTCAAGCCTCATTCCAATTATTATTTTTATTAATACTCAAATTATCCTTTATTCAACCAGAAGGAGTTTCAGATAGTTTCTGGTTCTCTTTGGCATGCCCTTAGTAGCCTTTAATAGCCTATGTAGTAGGCTTTTGAGAAGGAGTGGGGTGAAGTATTTGACTATCTCTTCTCAATTGCTGGGTTTCCAGATGTTCCCCAGAGTCATATTTTTTTAGGTTAATTTAATTGTCTTTAAATTCAGATTTAATGGTTTTATCTCTCGCTCACAAACACTAACAAATTTGGTGAGGGTTACTGGATTAGAATCAATACCTAATGATCATGTATTTATGAAGAATGCTTTCTATAAGCATGAATTTTATAATCTTAAGAGAATCTGGGTCTTATGGCTGAATCTGCTCCTAAAAATGAATTGAGACAAAGTTATTATTTAAATTATATCATCACTTTTTAACTTTTAACAAAATCTAGGATATCATTGCCGTTCTTCCAGACTTTCTGAATGTAGTGTTTGAATTACTGCCTAATAAGCATTGAATGCCTTCTAAAAACTTGTCAGAAAATATAATACTCCGGCACTTTATTACCTTTCTTATCTAACCATAATGAAAAGCAACAAGGGGCCATTTAGTTACAGTGCCAGACTCACCCCTGGGTTCTTTGTGCCTTTTCAGTTTGATGTTACAAAGCATCAGTGGTAATAAATAGATGCCTTTTTCAAAAGTTTTATTTTTTCTTCTATCTATAGAGAAGGAATAGCATATAACATTTATAAAGCATAACTCACTCATCCTAAAATAATAAAGCCCAGGTGTCAGGTTGAGTAAAACAGCATTTTCTCATGAAGATAGGACACTACCACCAACAGCTGATTTTGTGCTAATACTGGGTGGTCCCAGTAAGAAAGATGAAATATTGAATCCATTCTACAATATTGGAGGAGCAGTGGAAAAACAAATATAGAAGGCAGGCTGGCCATTATTGACTCTGAAAAACACATATTCACTTACATTTTCCCTCTGGTTAGGCTTTTAGTGTATGATCATGAGGTGGAGGGAGACAGACAAACAGACAGGTGGTTATGCTTGGAAGTAGATTCATGGGACTCAGATTTGGTTCATGTTTTGAGAGCTTGAAAATAAAAAAGCTTAACAATAGTGATACTATTAATAAAAATTCATTCCATAAACATTTGCTGTTCTCTATTAGTGAGGTCCATGGTAGTGCTGCTGCTGCTGATACATTTTAAATGCGTCTAAGGTTTATTGTGGTTCTGTGAGACCCTTGTATGCTGTAGTCTGTGTCTATTTCTCTCTGATCCATGTTCCTTCCCCCACTCAAGTGAAAGGCTAATGATTGTCACAAACACTATTTTATTTTTTTAAATATATTTTTTATTGATTTCAGAGAGGAAAAGAGAGGGAGAGCAAGATAGAAACATAATGACGAGAGAGAATCATTGATTGGCTGCCTTCTGCACACCCCCTACTGGGGATCGTGCCTGCAACCCAGGCATGTGTCCTGACCAGAATTGAACTGTGACCTCCTGGGTCATAGGTCAACGCTCAACACTGAGCCATGCCAGCTGGGCTCAAACACTATTTTACATAAGAAGGGACACAGTTAGTAGGTCAATGCACTACAAACTCATGCTAACTTTCTCTGTTTCATTACAGCAAATTCTTCATCATTCTAGAGAAAATGCGACTAAAGTTATATTTCTCATCACTGATGGCTATTCCAATGGGGGAGATCCTAGGCCAGTTGCAGCAATGCTGCGAGATTTTGGAGTGGAGATCTTCACTTTTGGCATATGGCAAGGGAACATTCGAGAACTGAATGACATGGCTTCTCCCCCAAAGGAGGAGCACTGCTACCTGCTCCACAGTTTTGAAGAATTTGAGGCTTTAGCTCGCCGGGCATTGCACGAAGGTAATGGAAACCTAATGGCATAGGATGATGCATTTAAATGGGGTTTCTTTATCTCTTACAGCTTGAAACCCACTAGAGCAGTGATGGCGAACCTTTTGAGCTCGGCGTGTTAGCATTTTGAAAACCCTAACTTAACTCTGGTGCCGTGTCACATATAGAAATTTTTTGATATTTGCAACCATAGTAAAATAAAGACTTATATTTTTGATATTTATTTTATATATTTAAATGCCATTTAACAAAGTAAAATCAACCAAAAAAATGAGTTCGCGTGTCACCTCTAACACGCGTGTCATAGGTTCGCCATCACAGCACTAGAGAGTAATATCAAACCCTATGAAGTCCTCGCCAAGCATGATGCCCAGGTGTCCTTGGTGTGTTATGAGATGTGTTGAACTTCATACACAGAGATGGCACTCTGACCTTGCAACAACAGTATCTGTTTTGTTTTTTAACAGCTGTGATATATTTTCACTAAAATATCCATATGCTCCCACCAGGAACAGATAGAATCAATGGAATGCATTTAGGTGTGTGTCGAGGCCACACACAGAGTGGGAAGCCTTGACTTAGATCTCATTTACAGTTACCCGGAGAGATGAAGTAAACATTCAGAGATATGCCTAGTGAATCTCACCAGAATGTTTCCAGAAATACACATGAAGATATTGGGGCAGTAAATGCTTAACACATACTTCTTGACCTGACAGTTTGAAGAGACACGAGCTATGTAAAAGCTGAAGACCATTGCCCCAACAGAGAATAAAATCAGTAAATCCACTCATTAGAACTCTTTGTACACATTTATAAAGATGTTTAGTTGTATGGTTTAAGTTAGATGAACTTCCAGGCAAAACATGGGCATGGGTCTTGGTGAGCCACAGAGAAAGTGTGGACTCTGAGGAAATGACAGGAGATCTGGCCTCGGACCGAAGCCATGTGGCAGGTAAGCATGATCCTGGCAGGTATCCGCGTGAAAGATTCGTTTTGATGGGCAAATCACAGCAACATGAGATTTTAAGCAATTAGGGATGTTTATAATAAGCAGATCAGCCCCACTGTCATTCCAAGGGACGAGTCCAGGGCAAGAACTTAGGCTAGCTGTGGACATAGCAAAAAATCCCACTTAGCCGTCCACTAGCTGAGTGGCTTTTAGCAAATTATTTCACTTCTGAACTCCCTAAGTTTCTTGTTATAAACTAGGGAATGAGAATAGTACCTACTACATCAGATCGCTGCAAAAGTTAAATGGGTTAATACATATGAAATTATTTTTAATGATACTGAGCACCTATGATACTAAGCCCTCAATAACTATCCTTTATTATTTCCTTAAGCAATTTATCTAACATCTATGAGTTTCAGTTTCCTCTATTTTTAAAAAACTGTAATATTTAACATAATTTTATCAGGAGGATTGCATGAACTATTTAAAATTTCATCAAGGATAGTGTTCAGCACATGGCAGTTCAGTAACTGGGGTTTTTCTTCATGTCTCTTTTACATAAAACTTAATGATTTACTTAAAGTTGAGAGGCAAACCAGATCCTGCTTCTATTATTTAACTTGTTGTGGTACCGTTACTTAAATCTTTAATCCAGTGACTATACAAGTGGTGGAATTAATCCTTTAGTTAGTAGCTCACAGCAACACCCTTATGCAGCAGTCAGGGTTGTAGTTCATGTATTTGGACAAGGATTTTGGAAATACTGAAGCAGCGGAGCACTGCTGGGGTGGACTGACTGCTTTACTTCCTGCCGCATCTGGAGATTCCTCCCTGAAGTACTTAATATCTGCCTGACCCCATGTGGCCTCCAGAACTTGTGATGAGGTCCCGGACTGAAATAACTGGCTGAAACAAATCCCCAGTCTGTGGTAGTGCAAGTAACACAATTTCATATTTGGGTGGGAGTGGGGAACAGTTGGGAATTAGACAGATATGAAAAGATATTTTCTCCAGCTTGCACTTACATCTTAGTAACTAGAGCTGTAGCATTCAACCGTTAATTCATTTTTTTATTACCCTCTATCATGGTAGATCTGCCTTCTGGGAGTTTCATTCAAGAGGATATGTCTCATTGCTCACATCTGTGTGAAGCCGGCAGAGACTGCTGTGACCGAATGGCAAGCTGCAAATGTGGGACACACACAGGTCAATATGAATGCGTCTGTGAAAAGGGATATTACGGGGAAGGTCTACAGTATGAGTGCACAGGTGAGTCTCCAGTTTGTGTCTAACTCTCAGTTATCTGTTGCCGCGTAAACAATGATCCCCGAACTCAAAGGTTTCAGACTTACTGCTCATGAGTCAGCTGGGCAGCCCTTTTGGTCTCGGCATGTCAACTCATGCATGTCATGAGCTGTGAGTTGGGTAGGCTGCGTGGCTGATCTTAACTGGGTTCTCTTAGCTGGCTGGAGTCTGGTCTAAAATGGGATTGTGTAGGACCGCTAGGTGGTCCTTTAGGTGGCCCTTCAGACTCCATCAGGCCAGCCTGGGTGTGTCCATGTGATGGCAGAATTCCAAGGGGAAGAATGGAAGCTTGCAAAGCCCCTTGAAGCCTAGGTTCAGAACTGGGAAGGGAGGATTTGGGGTGCCTTGTTTGTAATCAGTCAACAGCCAAATCTGTCCTCAAAGCACATAAACCAAAATACGCCTCAGTCTCTGTATGAGATGGAAGCCAGTGGGATTCTTGTCCTCAGGCCCCATGAACTTGTGGGATTGTCACAGAAAAGTGTAACATTCACTTGATGGTACTTTAGCTCTTCACAAGCCTCCGTAAAGGGATTTCAGAAAGCTCTAAAAGTGCTGTCACTTCAACATGGAATTCACTTCATCGATATTTGTAATTTTACCTCCTCTAGCTTTCTTTACCAGAGGCTCTTGATATTTTAAATATTTTCTCAGAAAGGCAAGAAGAGCAATGTAGGATTCCTGTGTCCTTCATTATATTTTAGGAAATACCTGGTATTTAGAAGTAGTATATAGTTTTTCTATGATAGCATTTTGTTTGTTCTTTTTTTTTTAACCTAAAAAGCAACATGATTTTTTAATAAGTTGCAGCTCTTCCATGATTTGATGTTTGGGAAAAGTGTATTTCCATGGAAATTAACATGCACCAGGAACACAGTAGGTTTACTTTATACTATACCACGTGGTCTGTCATTGCTTGGTCATGTGGACATTGCTCTGACATTTGGAAGATAGGCCTTCTGCCACACAGAAGCGTGGCCCTCCCTTTTCTACCTGACCTGCTTTCTCTTTCTTCTTCTCCTCATAGGCCGTTTCCTCTTGTGCTCTTCTTTTCCTCTCATTAATCTTGCTGCCCCTCTTCTTCCTCCCTCAATTTCCCCTCCCTTCCCTGGGCCTGATCCCAGCTGGCAGACGCATCCTTCCTGGGTCCACCATCCTCCACTACCCCCCCCCGCCCCCCGGGCAGAGTCACTCCTTTCTTGGCCCTGCTCCCACTCGACCCAGCAGGATTTCTCATTGAAGCTGAAAAAAGGGGGGAAATCAGCCTAACTGCCTCTGAGTTGGCAACATGCCTCCCCTTGAATCTTCCCACACTTCCATCCACAGCCCTGCTTGGCACTGTCCCCAACACCCCTGCTTTCTTCCTCCCAACCTCGCCCACCAAACACAGGCAGAAGCGCTCATTTTCTTGCTCCGTGCTGTAGTCAGCATGTCTGCCTTCCGTGTGGTCCCAGACTGGACTGCTCTCTGCCAACAAGCCACTGCCGAATGACCGCCCAGCAGCCTCAGCCACGCTGGGCGGCAGCCCCCTCTGCTCCAGGGCTCTGTAATCTTGCATCCCAGGGGAGCAGCTGCAGGAAGAGAGGGCGTGGCTCACAAACCCACTGCCCCCAATTACCCAAGTAGCTGTGGCTGTTACCAGTCGTACATTCCCGGCCGAAAGACACAGCAGTCTGTAAAATGTGTGAGGGGCAGGCCTGTCAGTAGAGCCTCAGCAGAGGGCTCAGGAGCACTTTTACTGCTGCTTCTAGCCAAGGACACCAAGCACAGAAGGAATCGTTTATCCACCCTCTTTTAAATTAGTAAGTAAGCCTCAGCTTCATACTTTCTCCCTTGCAATATATAAACTAGACATAATTGCATTGATATAAATGTTCATATTGTCACCTTCAGTATTCATCCCCAAGATATTAGGAAAAGTGGTATTGGAACTCCTCGATGTGCATGATGACTGTGTAGAGTTGTAGGAGGCCGGGCTCATCCAGGGCTTCTCCTGCATGCCAGGAACTAAGAAAAATAAATAATGTCCTCCCTATGGCATGAAAGACTCATGACCAAGCTCTTTTCTTCCGGAAAGACAGGAAGAAATATTAGCTTGAGATCATACAGTACTGAAAACCTGGAAGCCGTGAGCCCCTTTAAAATCTATTCAGTCAACAGATGTTATGGAGTCCCTTCTCAATGCCAAGCCCAGGCATTGAATCCACGCAGGGTTTCAATGGTGAGCAGACAAATGAGTTTATAAATGCAAACTGTGATGTATGCTATTAAGTAAAAATGCTCATGGTATGAAGAGGGGACTACAGGGAAGGATAGACTAAGATCATGCCTTCTAAGCTAAGATCTGAAGGATGACTAGACCATAGCTATTTATTGCTGAAGGAGAGAATGTTACCTTTCATTCAGAATAGTTGGAATTCAGAGTATTTATCCTCATTGTAGAAAAGATGCCTTTCAGAAGCAAATCATTCCTCTTGAGAGCCAAAAGAAACCTTTGAGATTATCTACTCTAAACCCCTCATTCTGCAAGAGGAAATTGAGGTCTCAGAAAATATGAGTATTTCCCTCAAGATGGCATATCCGGCCATCAGCAGGACCTGGGAAGGGTCCCAAGACACTTTTTTCTAAAGTCCTATGTTATTTCCAAGATAACATACCACTTATTTTGCAGTTTTGAAAATAGCTTCTTGTATACATTGCTTTTCCATAGACACGGAACTGTGCTCGGAGTGTTTAAAAACAAAGAAGACCTGGCTCAAATGCAACCTCTGCTGATTACAAACTATGTGGCTTTGGATGATTAATTTCTTCTGATTCTCAGCTTCTTTTGTAAAATGTGCTTAATAATGGTGTAGTTTTACATACACACACACGTATATATACAGGTATCTGTGTACATAGAAGTATATAGATATGTGTGTGCATATACGGGGTGGGCAAAAGTAGGTTATAGTTGTGAGTATGCAAAACAGAGTTTATTCTTTTTAAAAAAAAATTGTTATTTATTGATTTTAGAGAGAGAGGAAGAGAGAAAGCTTAAAAAACATTGATTTGCTGTTCCACTTATTTATGCATTCATTGGTTGGTTCTTGTATATTGCTCTGACCCGGATTGAACGCACAACCTTGGTGTATTGGGAAGACACTCTAACCAACTGAGTTATCTGGCCAGGGCCAGAGTTTACACTTGTATTATTATTTATTAATTATTGTGATATTTACCCATAAATCTACTTTTTCTCACCCTGTATATACATTATATGTATATAATGACACACACACACACATATATATGTGTGTGTGTGTGTGT